ATGATGCATACAGACAATTTTGTTTGGGGAGACTGTGTGTATCCGCTCTGTATGTACGTGTATGTGCACGCCTGTGTGTCTATGTACTTTTGTTTGTGCGTATGCGTGTGCGTGCGTTCGTTTGTCAAATGCACTTGCATGCACGCGTGTGTGTGCGTACGTGTGTGCGAGTGTGCGTGTGTGTGTGCGTGTGCGTACGTGCGCGTGTGTGTATGTGTTTGCGTTGGGCTATTTGCTCTTAAGATAAAATTAGACCCGACTCCTTGTTTATTTACTTCAAACTTCGGGCTAACTGCTATATCCTGCTTTGTTCCCCTTATTGTTTTGCTACCCCTGAGTCAACGGTTTTTGACAAGTTTTACGCTTGTTACGTTTACTCAAATTACGAAACGAGCAATATGGCTACATTGCTAAAAACAAATATTGTGATGGCTAATAACTATTTTCAGGAATATAAAGAATTTCCAGTGTTGTACACGGTCCTCTAAATCTAGGACAAAACGTCGTTCTTCGTTCCTTTTCAACCTAGGAACAAGTTCCCGTTACAAGTTCCATAATTACAAAATTAACGTGTGTCGTTACAGAACGTAACATCTGCGTATTGCAATAGAGAAAGGAAGGGAAAATATCCTAACTGAAATACGTTACACAAATTCGACATGCCGAGTTGCAACGATCACGTTTGTTCCAGGTCTCACTAGCATCCCTGTAAAACTTGCCTACCCAGTAAAGTTGCCGCCACTCACTCTTCCCCCCCCCCCCTCCCACACACACACTCTTTCAGTTGTCGCCTGAGTGTCTGGCTCTGCACCTGTGTCACAAACGTACCATCAGAGTGAGAGGGAATGCCAACTCGCCACAAACATAATGAACACATTTAATGAAGTGATAATTACCAAATTGAACGAATAATGATCGAGAACCTAGAGAGAAGCCAACAAGAGAGCGTAAATTGACAGGGATACATAATTTCCACAGCAAAGAACGAAATGCAAGAGTTCAGTAATGGAATGGGGAAAATACGTCATTAGGGAGTGGTCGGGCAGGTTGAGGCTCCCGTAGGTGCGGGAGATGTAAAGACGGATAATTCGGGAGTATCGGGCTTGTTTCATTTAGGCCACGGCGCGCGAGGTGCAGCGGTCAGTGCAAGTCACAGACAATCGGTCTGATTCAGGCACTTCGGGAGAGGAAGCCTCATAGGATTGGATCACGCAGGTCGGTAACGTTCGGTGCCAAGGCCGAGTCATCCTCTTGGCCGCGGTGCGCAAGGCCCAACATCCGGAGCCGACCGTGGTAGGGTGTGTCGGCAACGAATCTTCCGTGACCACTCTCGCGCCGTTAAGCAAAAAACTGAGCTCACAGTCCGACGATATACAACAGAAACAAAATAGAACCCGCGTCCTAACCGTACTAACAAAATACCAGAAACACGTGGGTGTGCGATTCATGATGCAAGCCCCACCTTTTTTCCCAAATATGTGCAGCAACCTAGGTGTATAAAATGTTAGAAATTGAGCGGCTAAAAAAAAAAAGTGCTGGCAAGCTTTTCCACTCCGTTATACCACGCGCTTTGATTACATTCCGACGTAAATCATCAGCTACCTTCTGTTGGCTCTTTGAGACGAATTGACCTAACAGCCCAACCGAACATGGCTTCCTTTTTATTTCGGAAAATCTGTAGTCTGGTAGTTGGTGAAAGCTATCCTCCCCCTATGAACGGCCAGCAAAAAGAGAAGGAGGGTACCAACATCATTTACTCCCAGCACACACATATTGAAAAAAGGTCCATTAAACAAAACAAAACGCAACCCAACGGAATCTGAAGACCATGTTAGAGTTCACCATTTTAGAAATTACTCGAACTACCTCGCAGCAAATGAGGTTTGAGCATTTTGAGGATGAAACAATGCGTGGTTTAGAAAGGCGAAGAAAGAGATGTTCTAGAATGAACTTCGCGTGTTGGGGGAAAAAAAAGATTAGCCAAAATGGGAACAAAAGAAACTTTGAGGAGCCCGATATAGGTCACTGCTGCTCGGTAGAGCCAGCAGGATCTTGTTTCCTTGTTCGAGAGAGTGCCCGGGCTCGTCAGGAAGCCAGACAGACCCCGGCACAACTAGAAAAAAGTCGTGATTGCGCTGTTCTACGTCATTCGTTGACTGACTCGTTGTCCGAAGATCAAATCGGTTTTCATAACAGCGTTCAAGCAACGGAACACCAGACAACTGCACCCGGCGCTAGGGGTGCAGAGTCATGGTCTTTGGTTTTTCAGTTACTGTCTTATGTCCTTTGCGCAACTATCCGTAGCAAGCCAGCCTTCATTCGTGTCTGTCGCCAGGAGGCAAAAAAAAAAGCCGGCCTTGCAAATCAGTGTGCATCCTTTCTTCTGTGGTGGCAGGAATTTTGTACAGCATTAAAAAAAGAGAGCTCGTCCTTACAAAACTATTTTGAAAATACCAACTTTAAATATCGTGATGGCGGTCCTTGGAATGGTAACTACTAAACGGTGACTCCCAAATTCAAAAAGAGTTACAGACATGTAGATAAAAAAAAAGTTGAGGCTGTTATTTTGCCGCTTCCTCGGAAACCTAACGAGTTCGTGTTCGAGTTCTTGCGACGCATGATGGAGCGGTGGCGCTCCTCCCTTCCTACTGAAGGGAATGCGTTCCATTTGATCATGGGAGCACGGGAACGTCGTTCGTTTGAACACGGGAACACACTTAGGTTCTTTATTTTTCATTATTATGATGTTTTTGGTCTCACCTCAATTCTGGGGTGCTCGTGTTGACAAAAAATGAAAACCTCCTTTTTTGGCGACCATACATAGCACCTGTTTACGTTATACAAAAAGGAGTCCTTCACCGAAGTTTGTCACGATTTTTTTTTTTCAATTTTCTTGTTGACGAGGCGCAAATGCTTAAGTAATATTTAAGCCACAAGTAACGTCAATGCTACGTTAAGCTACGTTGATGAATAAAAACACAAAAGCTTACTAACGTACCTGAATGCACAGGTTCTAATCAAAATAGTGACAAGATATAATATGCGCTCAAACCTTTGCGAGTGTTCGCATTACGAATTCTAGTTATTAGCGGACGTCGCTTCGTTGACGTTTTCGAGTTCCCCTCACATTGGAATTTTGGGAATTAACCATTTTAGAAAATCACCCGTTCTAGGGGTTGTGGTGTGAAAATAGATGAACACGTGCTCAAGCGAGCACGGGCACTCCCTCGGCTAAAGAAGCAAGTTCGTGCAGGCTCTATCGACCCTTTAGATAAAAGAGAGCTATATTTGGTGCACTGAAAAGCAACTAGCTCCTGACGCCGTCTTGGATGGTGCCGCGTCGCTCATGCCAGTATGTGCACGCTTCAACGTTACAGTACTACATTGTCACAGTACTTAATGCGCTTTGTTGCGCGAAGTCAGGGGGAGAGTGGTTTAGTTTCCAGAATTAGTGAAGGAAGACTATTTGTCGACGTTCTGGCGTGATGTCCGCACTTAAAGTCCACCGCGGTCGGGGTGACGATGTCCCGTTCGGCGGGAAGAGACCCGTTTGACGAAGAGATTTGCAAGTAGGTGATAAACTAGACGTACAGTTACCGTTGGTATTCATGAAAATCAGACATTATTAGTGCAGAGACTTGCGTTGGTAAATGATAAATTAATTTAGACTACGGTCTCCCCTGTTCGTCGGCAGATCTAAGCTGCGGGATAATTACAGCGTTCAGGCTACAAAATATAATTCAAAGTGACGCTATATCTCACAAGGTTTTTACAGTCGATAATTGTCGTAACTTTTTCTCAAGGAGTGGTAATTTCAGCAACTAGATTTGACCGGGCGTGACAACGTGATTCGGCCGTAAATACGACATACTGAAAAATATATAACACTAAATTTTGAGCGACAGAGTTTGAGGTATGTACGTTCTTGTGCATGTGTGCAAATCTTAGACTATATGGCAGAGCTTAAAAACAACCCAGTAATAATCGTAACGAAATTAATGTTTTTACATAATTAGTCCGCATTGATAATGTGCCTGTACCGGCCAAGCGAACGGAAAGGAAGACTGCGTTCGAACAGCTGCTTCTATACATGAAACCTACTTCTTCGGGTGCTGTCAGCAAGCTGCTAAAGTGTTTAGCAGCCAGGAATTTTGAGTACACTGAAATACAATCGCTGGGGCCGTAGTCACCGAATCCCCAATAAATGTGTACGTCATGTTACATAGGCTCGCGAAAACATCGCTTAAATCACATAAGGATAAAATCTGAAGCCTGTCAACTTGTATAGCTTACGACCACATGATTATCTTTCACAAGAATGTGGACGTAAGCGTATCATTGAAACATACAAACAACATTAAAGAAAACAATGCCACTTTCGCTTTTAATACATAAATATTGTCACCCCGCGCATTTTTTACACTGAGCCGAAGAAAACACGAGTCTCGGTGCGTGACAAAAAACAACAACAACAAAAACAACAAAAAGCGGTGCTGGTACTTTATTCGCGACCTCCTCAACCACACCACCAAGCTCGCACTGGGGCGACGTAAACAAACCGGGAACATTCTTTAAGATGGCGTCCCATACTTCAGTATACCCGAGAAATCTAGCTTTATTTTCACTGTTGCCAGTTTTTTTCTAATTGTTTATTGAACAGCAGTGAATAGATTGGGCTCTTCTATTTTTTTCACTATGGTGTTTTTTTTCTTTTTGCCCCCAAGTTCCTTCTAAAACGCTTCTTCTTTCTCCTCTCCTATCTGCACATATTTTAACTGCCGGAATCTTCGAACCCTCTTTTCTTGCAGGTTGCGCCACTCATTTCGAGACTGGGAAATTCAACCCAATCTAGGCTCTTTACGGAGTCTTCTATAGGCATTGCCTTACAATTTCACCAGCATGAAAAAACATGGACGCAGTAATGCCGTGATTTTAGGACTGATCAAGTTCCTTATTAACACAAATTGTGCACATGATGTTTGTTTTTTCACTTGTCTCAGGGCCCTTGCAACACGGATAATGGCAGCTGCCTGGTGGATGTTTGCCTTCGTACTTATATCCTCCTACACAGCAAGTCTGGCCTCTCAGCTGATCGCTCAGAGGCTGCACGTTCCATCTATACAAAGTATCCAGGAGCTTGCAAAGCAGTCACGTATCAGTTACGGCTGTGTCTTGAAGGGACCGATCAAGGCTTTTCTCAGAGTAAGGTTTTGGTCCGGACAATTTTTTTTACGTCAAACGTTCTACGGAATTATATTAATAAGAATTTACTTGCACGAAGATAATAAAAAAGGTGTGGCACATAGTCTACTCTACCTAGAGGGTAGGTATATGGCGCTTATTAAAGGCGCGATAGCACCTGCTAATATATATATATATATATATATATATATATATATATATATATATATATATATATATATATATATATCTTGGGGCTAAGTAGGCTGTAGGCGTATTTTATAAAAGTAGAAGCCACCGAGGGTCAAACAAACTTGGAAGGTTTAATTCAACATGTATAAGTTATACAGAAACCGCGACGTTTCGAAGGGGGACCCCTCTTCCTCAAGCGGGAGTTGAAAAGTGAGACCTCAAATGTTCTCTGTATTTTTTTTCCTTTTTTTTTGTTTTTCTTGCTTCTGCGGTATTTCGCTCGACATTTGAGGTCTCACTTTTCAAGTCCCGCTTGAGGAAGAAGGGTCCCCCTTCGAAACGTCGCAGTTTCTGTATAACTTATATATGTTGAATTAAACCTTCCAAGTTTGTTCGACCCTCGGTGGCTTCTAAGTATATATATATCTATATATATATATATATATATAACGCAGGCCGAATTGCTCCTGCGAGAACCACTCATCGCAACAAAAAAATGCTGGTGGCGTTTTGGTCCTGGGACAGGGACCCATTTAGGAAAATTATTAATGTCCAGGATAATTAAGTTGTTAATTATTTTTGCGTAATTAACTTTTTTAATATTGTGTTTAAGGGCATGGTTTAAATAAGAAAATTGCTCAGCATCATCGAAAAACACTAAATCAACAAATCGCAGAGTGATAGAGACCACGCTACGCATTTTACGGCTTTCTGAAAAACCGCACAAAATCGACGGGTTTTTAAGTTTCGGTTTGCTATCGGAGCGCGTCTCAGCCGCATGGAAAGATAGTGCAACCAACCTCTGCTGCGCTGTCATCGCGCGACGCAACAGAGGCTGGTTGCACTATCTCTCCACGGGGCGCGGTGACGCTGGGGCTGAGATGCGCTCCGATAGTAAACCACAACTTAAAAACCCGTCGATTTTGTACGGTTTTTCAGAAAGCCGTAAAATGCTTTGCGTGCCTTCTATCGTTCTGCAATTTGCTGATTTAGTGTTTTTCGATGATGCTGAGCAAATTTCTAATTTAAACCATGCCCTTAAACACAATAATAAAAAAGGTAATTACGCAAAATTAATTCACTTAATTATCCCGGACGCTAATAATTTTCCTAGATGAGCCCCTGACCCAGGACTAAAACGCCACCAGCCTTTTTTCGTTGCGATGAAGAGTTTTCGCAGGAGCGATTTGACTTGCGTTCACTGAAACACCATATATATATATATATATATTATAATTTGTTTTCTCATCGGAAAAAAAATACCATATGTAAAAAAAAAAAAAAACTATTGCAGTGTGTTCGCGAACCAAGAGGTCGAATAATTTGAGACTGGATGAGCTTGTGTCACACATGCCACTACACCCTGACGGTTAAACTAATTGAATATTTCTGCGAATATTTGTACACATCTTGAATGTAATTCTATATATGTAGATATATAAATAATAATTAGAATTTTTTCTTGCTCTCGCCTTTCTCTGTTCAGGACTCAGCCGATCCATGTCTGCAACGCGTATGGTCTGTCATGGAGATGTCAACCACAACTGTGTTTACGAACACTCTCGCCGAAGGTGTCGATCGAGTGAAGAACGAGCCCGGTTACGCATTCCTCACAGACTCTCAAACAGTCGACTACCTCGTGCACCACGACTGCTCATTCGCTCAGTTACCCGGGTTCCTGGAAACGGGAGGCTTCGGTTTCGCCACACCACACGGTAATATGTCCCCCTTAATGGCGTTAGTGGCTATTTAAATCATTGGTAGACGGGTCCTTTCCGGCATTAGCAAGCTAAAACGACGTGCCTCGTCAGTGTCACAAGTCGGAACTGTCATGGGCCTTTAATTCATCAAGTGACTGTTGTCTGCAAGTTAAGCGAACCGGAAAGAACAGTACACAAAGAGTTGGTCAAGAACAGGGTCTGATGCAGTGGCCGGGGTGGTCTAATCGGTTAAAGCGTCACCTTGGATAAGCGACGGTTGTGGGATTGGTCCCTGGTCTTAGCCCAAATTTTAGACAGCCCTCCATTCGTTTTGCGCACAAGATCTGTTCTGCTGCACTTGTTAATCTTACCTCATTCAACTTATATATAATATCTAGGCAGCCTCATTCGCCATATATGTATATATACAGGATGTTGCACGAAAGGTGGACAAATTCGATATTTCGAAAACTACGCTCGTAACAAAAAAAGGTTTGTGTTGTTTTGGTCCTGGACTTGGGGCAATATAGGAAAGTTATTAAAGTCCGGGGTAATTAAGTTAATTATTTTTGCGTAATTAACTTTTAATATTGTGTTTAAGGGCATGGTTTTAATTGTAAAATTGCTCAGCTTCCTCAAAAATACACTAAATCAACAAATTGCAGAAGGATAAAAGCACGCGAAGCATTCTATGGCTTTCTGAAAAACCGCACAAATTCGACGGGTTTTTAAGTTTCGGTTTGCTATCGGAGCGCATCTCGACCCCGATTGCACCGCGTTCGGTGGAGAAATAGTGCAACCAGCCTCTGCTGCGCCGCGCAATGACAGCGCAGGAGAGGTTGGTTGCAGAATTTCTCCACGGGATGCGGTCCACTCGGTGCCGAGTTGTGCTCCGATTGCAAACCGAAACCTAAAAAACCTGTCGAATTTGTGCGTTTTTTCAGAAAGCCGTAAAATGCTTCGCGTGCCTACTATCGTTCTGCAAATTGTTGATTTAGTGTTTTTCGACGATGATGAGCAATTTTTTAATTGAAAGCATGCCCTTAAACACAATATTAAAAAAAGGTAATTACGCGAAAATAATTAGCAATCTAATTATCCTGGCCTTTAATCATTTTTCTAATTAGGCTCCTGGCCCAGGACCAAAACGACAAAAATATTTTTTTGTTTGTTGCGACACTTAGTTTTCGCAATATCGAATTTGTCCATGTTTCGTGAAACACCCTGAATATATATATACATATATATATATATATATATATATATATATATATATATATATATATATATATATATATATATATATATATATATATATATTTATATATATATATGTATATATATTTTTTTTACACTATTTAAAAATAAAAGCCAGGAGAGCGATATTTATGCGATTTGTGCCAGTGAGTTATACGGCCAGGGGTACATAATGTAGGTGGCTAACATTCCCGATAAGTCAGATAATTAGTGAAGATTTGTTAATTAAATGATTATTTAGTGAAAAATAGTCAGATAACGCCACTGACTGTTCGCTGACGCCACTTGTTGAGAGATGCGTCATCGAACCATCAGTGGCGTAATCTGACAAAGAGCTCGGGTACCTGCGATCGACTATGACGGACATTACGTAGCCACTGATTGGGCCTATCGCTACAGAATATGCTGCTTGGTTGGCACGTGTGTGTGCGCCTATATATTTTTATCTGATTAGGATTCTTCTTGTTTTCTTTCATTCCCCTTTTGTGTAATAAACAACAGCTGTTAGTCCAGCGCCGTCCTGTTGTGTTTGTTCCTTTACTCTCGTACAAGTTTCTTTGCCGCTGGTTCTTTCCGAGGTGTTCACATCAATAATCGCTTTCTCTTCTTTTCGTTCACAATATTAGTGTTGAAAAGTAGTGAAAGCACACAATAAAGACGAACACGAAGATGGAGAGACGAACAGGACGAGCGCTGTACCTCTCCGTCTTCGTATTCGTCTTTATTGTGCGCTTTCACTACTTTTCAACATGCATACTTAACTTGCCTGCATCGCTACGTTAGCACAATATTACTACGGCTGCACTTGTCAGTCTTCCCTGACTACCATTCTATATACTGTGCAGCCTGTCCCTATGGGGAGGAGTGATTCTCTAGATATTCTGGAAGTCGGGCCCTTTCCGACATTTGCAAGCTGGAATGGCGTGCCACGTCACTGCCGCAATTATAGTATGGGCCCTAAATCAGCAACGGCTGTCGTCCACCCAGTTCATCAAATTCGGGACTAACAGTACAAAAAGAGCTGGTCGAAAATTGAGTTCGCCGAAACTAGTGGCCGAGATAGTTTTATCCACTGATCTCTATTATAGTAGGCTGGATCGCGGACCGCGGCCTCGGCAGCTGGGGCCGAGTGTCGCCACCGGCGGCCATTGATTGACACCACCAAATGCATAGAACTCTATGGGGAAATCGAGAACAAGTGTCATTTCCCCAGATTCTAGGCTGTTGTCGGCACGGAAACATTTTTGCTGCTTTTCGATAAGCCCTTCAAATAGCCTGCCTTACAAACATTAAGACTGATAGCGCTCTCAGTTCCTATAAATAAATATTTCGTGGTCGCGAGTGGCTCCCCTGGGCGAAAAAATGTAGTTGAGCTCAATGAGGCGACAGTTACCTATAGAGTTTGCACAATGTCGGTGGCGATTTCGTTGAGTTGGGTTTAGCAGACGACAAGCTCGAAGGCTTTCCTACGCGGAATTCACTCACTCCGGGAAAGCCGCTGTCGAGATGGAACTCAACTCTTTGTCGTGCATCAACTTCTGGTCGTCCCCGAGGACTTGCCAGCTCAGCCGTAGGTGCTCCGGTCCGTTTAATTTTTTAATCGAAGTTGACAAATACCGATTCCATCTCCAGACACCCGATATAAGAATCGCAGCACACTGTAAACTACTCGCCTCCGAGTACAGCGTACAGCGCACCTCAAACGTAACGCCGCCACGGCATTTGCCGTTTCTGACAGTCCCTGCGGCGGCCGATTGAATTATCTAAAGAAAGTTAGAAGTCCCGATTTCTATCCCGTCCTGAGAAGGCATCCCGAACGTTTTGGTGACAAATTTAATAGTAAGTAGCCGACGAGAGCTCAATGTTCGGGAACCCAGTGGCGGCGTTAAGTTTGGGGGGCATTGTACAAGCTTTAATGTGCTTACTTTTGTGCGCTTCTACCATAGACTTGCGTGCATTGCCTGGTGTCAAGCAATGGCCGCCGGTGGCAACGTCGACGGGCTCCCGATCCGCGATCCAGCCTACTACAATAGAGATCAGTGGACTAATCGGTTGAGGCGTCGTCCCATAGGCGAAGATTGCGGGTTCGATCCCCGCACCTCGGCCAATTTTTTGCCAGTTCTCTTTTCCTTTTCCTTTCCTAGCTTTAATGCAATTATTTTAGTAATCGCCTTCTCCCCTCTTCGTTCACAATATTAATACGGCTGCTCTTGACAATCTTCACTCATTACCTTTATATATATATATATATATATAATTACATGCTAAGATCCATATACTTGTGCCTGAACATGAGATAAACATCTACTTAGATTTCACATTCAAAATTAGCACGCATTTAATAAATTCGTGCGACAGGGTCCGGATTCCCGTTGTTCCCGAAATAATAAACTGGCTCTTACCAGAATTCTTGTTAACTAAAAAAACAAAAAAACACACGAGACAATTGACAGCGTGAAGTAAGCAGTTCTTTATGTTTCACGGTTCAGTCTCACAGTAAACGAAGTTAGTTCAGGTGTAACGTAAAGCCACAAAGAGTAAGGAAAATCTACAAAGAAGGTGGAATGTGCCATATACTGACGCGTGCGTAACAGATTACATCGCACACGGCTTCCACACGAAGGCACCGGGTGTAAACCCCACCGGCTAGTTCTTATTTTTTATCTTTCGCGACTCTTCTAGAACGTTTTAGCAGTATCTTGTAAGTTATCACTTCTTACTGCGCACAATATTTTTGGCTATATAGTCTATAAAAATGAAGGACTGGCAACATTAAGGCAGTCGCCTTTCCTTTTCCTTCGGACGATGTATGTTTACTTTATTTGTTTTCTAGGCACAATATTGCTCCCTTAAACGTTTGGTGTTGTTCCTCATTAATTTACTAATTTTATGCCTGACCGCATATTAATTTCGTTGGCGTGCATTTCCTCAACTTATGTATACAGAAACATGAATGACGAAAGTAATCCCTGGAGAAGTGGGACAAGAGGGACAAAGGACAAACACAAATCTCTAAACACAGCTAAGTTATGCAAAGGTGACTGGTGCGCGGCTGAAAAAAAACCGCCTGGTTCTGGTACCAAATCATGGACCTCTTCATTTGCAGTGGAGGTCTTACCAACTAAGCAAACCAAGAGTTAGACGTCAGCAGAGCGAAAGGGTTTTATCAGCTGGCACCAGTCTTACACCAAAACGAGTGAACGGCATACATTTTAAGGTTAGGGTGAAAATTAAATTAATGCAAAGGTTCAAGCGAGCTGGACAAGAATGACGGAAATATTACCCGGAAAACGGAGAGAAGGGCAAAAAGGTCAAACACAAATTTCCAAGCGCAGCTAGGTGACTGGGACGTGACGGAAAAAATCCGCCTTTTGCTGGTCTCGAACCAGTGACCTGTCTATTTCCAGTGGAGCACTCTACCAACTAAGGTAACTACGAGTTAGACGTCAGTAGACCAAAGGGATTTTATCTGCTGCCACCAGTCCAACACCAGCAAGGGTGAACGGCCTGCAGTTTAAAGTCACGTGATAATGCAATTAGTGCAAAGGTGCAAGCGAGCTGGACACGAATGACTAAAGAAATACATGGAGAAGGGGAATATTGGGACGAAGGACGAACACAAATCTACAAACACAAGTAGGTAAGTCGTGCGCCACCCAAAAAAATTCCGCTTGGTCCTAGAATCGATTTAGAGTCCTCTCTATTTCCAGGGGGGCACTCTACCATCTGAGCTAACCAGGCGTTAGCCGTTAGTAAATCAAATGGGTTTTATTAGTAGACGGGTGGCAGCTGATAAACTCCGTTTGCTTCATTGATGTCTAACTCCTTGTTAGCTCAGTTGGAAGAGCTCTCCACTGAAAATGGAGAGGTCCCTGGTTCGTTTACAGGACCAGGAGAATTCGTTCGGTCGCGTAAAAACCACCTAGCTGCGTATGAAAATTTGTGTTTTTTCTCTATCGCCTTGTTTCCCTTCCCCAGGGATTACTTTCTTCATTCTTGTCCTGCTCGCATGCACCTTTGCATTAATTGCATTAATATTATAACCTTAAAATGCAGGCCGTTCACCCTTGGCGGTGTGAGACTGGTGGCAGCTGATGAAACCCGATTGCTCTACTGATGTCTAGCTCCCAATTGCTAGGTCAGCGCTCCGTTAGAAATGTCTAGGTCACTGGCTCGATAGAGTCGATACCAGGACCAGGCTGATCATTTCGGTTGCGCACCAGTCACCTATCTGATTTTGGAAATTTGTGTATGTCCTTTGTACCCCTTGTTCCCCTGCTCAAGGGATTATTTTCAACATTTTTATCCAGCTTGCTTGCACCCTTGCATTAATTGGATTAGCGTCATAAACATAAAGATTAATATTGGAAGGATAATATAATAAAATCTAACAGCTTTGAAAATAAATTCAACTGCTACTTCTAAATAAACGTCACGTGTGCCTAACTCACAAAGATTCGTGTACAGAACCTCCCTTTTTGACAAACAATGAAAGCGCAGGGTCATGAAAGCATAATATAAAAAAGCATGCTTTTGGGTAGAAAGGCATCGTTCAGTTTGTTTACTAAAGGAGACATGCGAGTAGACGGAGAAATAATGATCAAAACATTATTATGGTCAAGGTTTTCTAACACTCTAATTATCATTTTTGAAAAAAACCCGAATCTGGATCGCGATATACAAATCTAGAAAACCATTATTAAATTAGGTTGGCATACTTGGAAGCAAACTTGTAATGAACACGAATATAAACCCAGTTTGGGAGCTAAATTAGCTCTTAATATCAATGCTATATTTTATTTAATATTATGGTGGAAGTACCCGCCATTCATGTTCCACCAGACGTAGCTTGTCATAGCTCCGAAGATATCCGGCAAAATTACAGAAAAGGGCGGATGCAAAAAAAAAAAAAAAAAAACGTTAACGAAAATTATTCTGGTGTTCAATATTATAATTTTTATTTAAATATGAAACTTAATATTAAAACTAAAAAAAACAAAATATTGAACGCTGAGAAACAATTATAAAACAAAAAAAACTCTTGGTTTAGTAAAATAATTTCAATTCAATTAAAAAAAAAATATCGGACAACTAACTAGAATACAATTTGGTATCGCTAAATATGCCTTCTTATGTAAACACAAGATCCGTATTTTGTTGTGATTTTTTTTATCACTACTTACGGGAAATTTGCTTGAAATAGTGTGTGAACCACGTGTTCCCTGCATTTCTATCTAGGCTTAGCTCAGGCAGGCCATGGGACGTCGCCATGTGGGGGCGCGTCCCGGATGCGAGGGGAAGCCGTATTCCCTTGCGGTCGGCTCTCCCTCGCTCTTCTCGGGTGATTGGCCAAAGTCACACCCCTCGAGATCATGACTTGGACACGTCCGCTCCTCCGGGGAGCCAACCTACATCCGACCCCCCCGGGCGCGTGCATTCCCGCAGGCTATATAGGACGGTCCAAATCCAATGTCACGAACTCTCGCTGAAGGAGGCTCTGATCGACGGAGCCTTCGTTTCTTTTTCTGATACTCCCCCTTCCGTGATATTCTCAATAGCGGCAGCACGGACTCTGACTGGCGATCCTGTCAAAAGAGACAGCGCCGTCATCTGTGACATTGTTGGCCCTCGGGCAAACGTGTGGCCTTTGTCGTAAAATAAACACGTCGTTATCCGGGCCCGAAGAACCTTCTGTGTTTCTAAGTGGTCCCCCAAAGGGGAAACCCACAATAGATGAAGATTTATAAAAGAAAAAGTTATGTTTCTACAACGTTGTCTAAACTCTACCCAAAGCAATATGAGCGCAACTTATGTTGTTTAGCGGCGATCCCGCTAACCTCGCGAGAAGCCGATCTAATGGCGGATTCGTGTACTTGTGAGCGGCCTTAGTTAGAAGAGTGCATTAGAAACATCAGCGTGCGCAGACTGTGTTTACAGTTAGCGTTGCTGTATTTTACGTACGAATGACTTGCAGGTTCACCCATCACGCAACTCCTCACCAACAAGATCCTGCAACTTCAAGAAGACGGCACGCTTCGTGCGCTCCGGCACAGGTGGTGGTCCAGTCCCGTGTCCGTCAAGCGCTGCGCTAGCGGCGCCTCTTCGGAAGGGGCTAGCCAGAAGGAGGCCTTCTCGATAGGGGCCTTGGTCGTTGCGCTCACTATTGGCTGCCTGGTGTCCCTCATCATTGTCGTCCTTGAGTGCCTTTGGAAGATCCGCTGTACTTCCAGGAAAGAAAGGGTTGGTATGAGTGTAACATTTGTTTTACGATCAAAAGCCCTCGAAATCTAAATTTTTTTCGTCTAGAGGGGAAAATCACGTCGTCGTTTATCTTATATTAGATGTTACCTCAAATATTCAGAAAACTTCGGTGTCTGAAAGAGACGCTTGAATGGCATTCACAAACAACCCTAAATTTCAACGAATGATATTACGATACGTATATTCCTGTTGCATAATCAAGCTACAAAAATAGTTAGTAATTAAAAGCTAAAAGAAGCACATATGGCCATGGGTGTATAACGCAAAAAGATTGTTTTACCATAGATCAGGTAGAAAATCGGTTCTGTGTTCAGTTGTCAACTTTAAATAAGTGTAAGTTTTGCGGAATATAAGCCATTAAAACACGAATTTGTTTTTTTTTTTCATTTGAAGACGGTGAATTAGATAACATTGATAAGTATATTAACATGGGAAAGTATAATGTGTGACTGAGTGGAATATTTAATAAGTCATTTGAAAAATATATAGGTTTCTTATGTCTCAAATACACTGTTGTTATAGCGACGCACCAGGAACTGCCCGTATAAAGGACCAGCGAGTATTAGAAAACCTTGAAAGCCCCATCGTAATACTAAATTTCGCTACACTTTCGACTAACAGAATACCGAGCTTTTACTTTTGCTCCTTTTAGACTCGTATTAATTTAGTGATTTACGCGATTTGCGATGTCACTGGTAAGAAAGTTGGAAGACATTCGCGCCTTTTACCTGGCGGGTGATGACCAATTTGGACGATTGTAAATTTTGCGTGCGCAAAAGTTGAAGGTCGATTGTCGGCAGTCGGTGTTTTACAAATCACTCTTTTATAACCCCTATTCTAGAGGCTCTGCAGATCAAAGTTTACTAGGCAAAGTAATAGCAACCGAAGCCAATCGACGTATGACACCAGATATAGCAATTATCTTTTTCATTTTGTAGGGGTGGGCGAATAGTGGTTGAAAGGGAATAGCGTTGCTTATTAGCAGCCATCACAGTGCTGGAAAGAACGGCGACATAGGGCGTCTCTTTGCAGGGTTGAAGCTAAGAATGGCGCTGCGCTATTCGAGTAAAGCCACTTTTCGCTCAACCCAAATTTTTTTGAGGACCACGTTGGCACCAGGAAACCTAAATACTCCTTTGTTTTGTGAGTTCTATGAACCTGGTCCTTCTATCATTTTAATGTATGGTTAGGATGTGGTTTTCTACTGCAAATATGGGAGTGTACCATTAAACTTGTCCGGGGGACACCCCCTAGGTTGCAGTTTACCAAAAATGGTATGCACCAGTAAGGCATGCTATTCTCAGAATGTAGAGTTGGCCGGACTCGCTCGAATGCCGTTCGAGAGTGCCCGCAACCCTCGGGTCAGCGTTTTTGTTTGTTCTTTTTCTCACGGAGAATCAGTCAGTTTAGACCGTCTCCGTGGTTCTTTCAGACGAATCTTGGTGACAGGCGGCACCTGGAAGATGGCGTGGTTTTACTCTGGCGGATTCGGTTTCTGTTTACGTTGGCTTTAAGTACCGCCGAATAGCTGCGAAGAATTATGGAAATGCCTTAACAATTAATTGACCCAAAAAGCTGTATCCTCAAGGGCTATTAGACGTGACGCTTATTTTTGTTTACAAACTAGACTTTTTTTTGACAATATCTACGGTAACCCATTGTATACTTCTAATGACAAGGGTGTATGAGATATTGTGGTTAAGAAATTCTAACTTTCAGGTCGCATTATTTGAGTGATAAACGCCAGTGCCTGCTTTACTAGGTTAATGCTTGATTCGGAAACGTTAACTTTTCTACACCTTCGCCGAAGATTTGCTAATAGTGCACTGTGTCTTGTGCCGTTGCTCACAGGGCTTCTTCCTCTGGGAAAAAATACGACGTGGGGTCACGAACAGCGAGTCACTCCAGGACTCTAATCTTATTGTGTTGGACCCTCCAAAAGAGTTCCAAGACGATCAGGAAAACCTCCCAATGACTTCGTACAAGGGCGATTCGCTCGCCTAGTACCTACAAGTGATTAGCACGTTTCACAGCGACAAGCGATGGTCAAACTTGTTGTTCTTCCGTATGAAATATTTCCGGTGCTCATTTTAAGCATTTAAGATGATTGGAAAACAAAAAGAGGATGATCAAGAATATTCGTGCGTTCAGTAACACGATATACCGGTATTCTGGGAACGTGGAGATTGTGAGCGACTTATTTTTGTTAAACATCTTAATGTCTTTCCGGACGTTTAGATTTTACCACCTACCTTCTTTTTAATGTTATTTTGTTGCTCTTAAGCTTTCAACATTGAAGCTAACCTGTGTCATTGTAATTTTGTTTCGTAACTTGAATAACGAAGATTCCATAGGGTTGATCGTTCGTAAGTTAAGTACTTCATTTTAATAAGGATGTCTTGTGCGAAAGATGCACTCTCCTAGAGGAAGGCAAGTAAATTAACGGTCACAATATGATAATGTCACAGGCGATGCATCGAATTGTGGTTAGTGTAAGAAGTTACGAACACCTGCAAGAAAGCATTGTCAGGTTTGGAGAATGCGCTCTTATATAGCTGTCAGAACAATATAAGTGGGCAATGCATTCACGACTTCAATTTTAACTTATAAATTAGCCTAACAAACGACCTTATTTCAAAAACTTCATATTTATAGGAGGTGTTTGTTTTGTGGCACCGCTAAATAATAGAGATATAATGAGCACCCCTTTCCCATGTGTGTGTGGGAGCCTAGATTTATTATAATATACGCTAGAGGTTAAACTGGCGCCAGCACCTACGCGACTTTCGGGTGTTGCATATGAAGTGTGTAAAAACAAGTGGCGATACTAAACAAAATGACAACCGAAAGGAATCTGGAATGTATTCAAGTTTCTCCAACACTCCGGTGACGCCTTTATCTTCCTTATATTGCGGTCCTGTCACTATATGAAAACGACCTCATCGTGCATCTGTTCGAGCATTTAAAAACATTGCAAACGTAAAGAATAATGTACGTAGGCTATGCGAGGTTTCTCTTTTTATTATTTCCGTGCCGGGCAGCTTTTATCGGGTGCTTCATTTCTTGCTTTTCTTCATTTTCAAAGATTTCGAGTGTGCAGGTGATGTATTGAACGGAGAACAAGTAAATTTGCACATATGCATGATCAGAGAAAATAAAACAGTACTTATTTATTACAAATCTGAGTATAATTACTTGTCATTAACTTTATTTTGATTGGCTTTATGCAGATGGATTTACCTGACCCAGTGTTACTGCGTAGTTCTTGCTGTCGCTCTTGGATTTCCAGATGTCATTCGAGTGTCTTCCATGTTAATTCTTCTTGCCGAAAAGCACCGACGCCTTGCTCGCGCTAACACTGTCTATCAGTGCAGAGAAATACATGTATGAAGCTCTTTTAACACTGAGTGTAATGCCAATCATTCGAAAGAAAAACATTGTAACTGACCAATATTTTTTTATGTACGCGATTCGGAAATGTTCCAGGCTATTTGCTACGTTCTAATTTTCGTAATATTTGCTCTTATCATCAAACGCAGAAAAACATTTACCCGATTTCCTCCGTGAGAACGCATTACCGGAAGTCGATTTGGACTGGTTACTTTGTGCTTCCTTTCGCAACAGCACACTAGCGTCAGCGGAACCTCTAGCTTAAATTATAATAACTCCATCTGCGGGGCAAAGAATCCGCTGGTGTCCTGCGCGTTTAAATATGTCGGTCTGCATGATAGTGATGATACTTTAAGTGTACGCAGGCAAGCTGGTGGTAGCTAGTCATGTCATTTAACACCTAAGATTGCGGTTCAGAAGGTGGTTGACAATGATGGTATTGAGGGTTGGACCGTTTTATCATCTGCAAATGTGTATGTTTTTTGCATTTGAAGATGCTTTCAACAAAGGAGATCTCTGCGTAGAAGGCGTTTCAGAGCTGCTTTGTGACCATAAACAGGACGCTTGAGAATTAAACCATTTAGCTGAGTTTTAGACTTTCCGTTTTGTGTCTGTTGCTTCAACTAAAAGTTGCCTTTCTTTTCTGCACCACCGTCTCAGGTGTTAAACGACATTATTTGGTCGACACGCGACTCAAGTTTGTGTCATAGCCGCCACAAACCATATTCTTAACGGTGTGATGAAGTCTTAAATGTAAGAGTTAAATACGAAAATGTGGTCTCAAGTAAGCATGTTCTCCAAGTCCACGCGTGACAACCTATTTAGTACAACTTGATATTGAAATGCACATATAAAATGAGGATAACCAATAACAGCTCGGTGTGACGTGGTTTGTAGGGGCTTGCTGCACTGGCACCAAGATTGCATTTATCTTCGTGGGTTATGGTGCTTCGCAACGTTCTGCTGTGAATTAGAGTTTCCCGTTTAAAACAGTTCATTTGTGTAAATATAATGTAAGTTGTAAGACAACGCATTTATTTGTTCATTGCCTGCTACATGTAACCTATTTACATAACGCCAATATTTTATGCCTTCGCACTAAACAAAATGTGCTGATGAATTATACTGTTATTATAGCCACTACTATTTGCGGTGGAACATTTAATTTTGTATTTTTGGCTTAACCAAACACAGAGCTACAACCAATGCATAAGAAAAACATAAACTCATCTCTGCCAATTAGTGCCTTGAATATTCTTAGGCATCCCAAGAACTTTAAATTAGCTTTGATCGAAAGCTTTTCACGAAGACGCACAATGCACAGCTCACTTCAACATTTGACCCCCTTCTCACTGCCATCATATTCTAGTACTTTAATTGATCTAGAATTGTTTTTTTTTAATATAATTAAGTCAGTGGTTAGCTCTTGAACGGTGTTTCACTGTCACATTTTACAGTGCCTTCCAAATGCTGTGGAATTCTGAATGTTTTTAAGATGTGAAATTATGTCTTGACTCACAATTTGAAATAAAGATGTTTTCACATTGAACCACAATTTTATTTTATCTAGTGTGAATTGTTCTTTTTTATGGATCTAATTACAAAATTTTACTCACGTTCGAGTTAAAGAAAAAAATTTCTGCGTTGTCAGAGCAATAGAGGTGTTTCAATTAATCGCAGCAGCTAAGCATAACTGACCAGAGAAGCGAATACAAAACGCGTACAGTACCTCTACGCGTTTTGTATTCGTTTTGTATATATATAATGTCAGAAAATTTACTCAGATGTTTTTAAAGAAAAGACATCAATATTTCCAGTGTTGTAAGGAAATAAAAGGGTACAAGTAAAATCACGGTTTAGCGATAGTTAATTTTGAAATGTTTTAGTTAGTTATTTTTATGGCATAACAATGTTAAGCCTGAAAAACGCAGTTTATAAAATTTTCAAAATCGCTCTTACCTGAAGACATTTCCACCATTATTTTACTTCATGAGAATGTCCTCCTAATACCTGATAGTATATACCGGGTGTCGCAAATAGCGGCCCGGTTATTTAAATCGACTGCAAAAATTGGCTTCTTAACCTATCGCGTTAAGATTTTGTGCAGCGTTGCCCACCGGGGGTGAATTTGTTTTATAAAAATTGCCAAGATCCAACTTACCTGAGGAAAAAGTAAAAAAATAAGAAGGCTTAACTCCCTTGAAAACGCAGTGAAGCCACCGGTTTTCAAACAATAGGGCGCCCTATTGTTTGAATACCGGGGCCCTCACCATTATCGAGCATAATAGGTCCGCGTATGTTTTGTAGAATTCGGCGCCGACCCCTTCAGGTCCCGGCTATTTGTTACCAGATAGATTCTTTATGGTTTTCTTCATTTCTGATTATCCGATGGGAGCCTTTATCGGGTCCCTGATCTTTTCGGAGTTGGTGGCGAGCTCATGCAGAGGTGTCTGCTGGACCGCGGCATCACATTCCTGTCGTCCGGAAAGGTGCGTGTAGTGTGACTCGAAGGCCGCAGCCTGTCTGCCCGATGATCTCCTAGCCGAACGCTGGAGATGTGGTTAGCCTTAACCCTTTTCTTCTCGAAAGTTTGGAAGATTTTCGAAGGCTGAGTCACAGCTTCAAGGTTCTGTTCCCTACTCCTCATCTGCGCCCCCTTCAGCCTTTCGGCCATCAGCTCCAGAAGCCTTGCCTTGAAGTACCGTATGTCCTGGGTGAACGGCCCCGGGCTATTTTCCTCTTGCTCGAGTACAAGGCGGAATGTGTTTGCTAGAGCTCGCTCTTCCCGTCTGGTCTCGGTTGTCCTGGTACTTGAGCAGGCCTCTGCGGGCTCTCGGAGTTCACCCTTGAACTTCTCCCACGCGCAGTCGTTTACGGACGCCCCGAGATGTTCAAGGCGTTGCCGTACCTCCGATGTGAATTCCGGATCGACCAAAATGACCATATTCTCTTCCAAGGTGCCCCCATGCGCTGGTCGTCGTCCACGCCACCCCGGAGCTCAGATATCGCAAGGCCATGATCAGAGAAAGACACCACTGCCACATCGTACGAGCCCGCACGAGGGAGGAGTACGTTGGAGAAATAGATGCGGTCGAGGCTTGCGTGAGAGCCTCGCTGCCACGTTTTGTATTGCGGTGTGAATCTTGGGAACTTGGACGTCACGACCACCAAGTCGTTATCCCGAAGCAGGTTGCTGAGCGTGGCTGCGCTAAAGTCCATTTTGTCGGCACTGCTACTCCTGTCCGAAGAGAAGAGGACACAGTTGAAGGCACCCCCGAGCACTGCGTCCCCAGGAGGGTCCAGCATGCTGCCCCGAGTTCAAAGAAAATCCGGCGCTCGCTTGGGCTGTTGGGTGCGCATACCGAGATGAACCTAATGAGGTGGTCGCCCACGAGGCCGCCTGCTGTGGCGGATCACCCGTCGTCGCCAAGATATCGATCCAGCACGCTGACGTCTTGACGCTTTCTGACACGTATCACCGTGCCCCCACAAAATCTCGTTCTGAGGGTGTGAACTCAGTAAAACACGAGTCCGAAAACACGCACGAATGACATTGTCAACTAAGGCGTGAATAGCTTTGTTTCCTGAACAAGAACGATACCAGTTTTTTCCTCAATCAGCGGGTCGAGGAGCCATTTCTCCCTCTTCAAGGTGATTAGGCTGATCGTGTTGACTGTTCTTATTTTTATACTTCTCTCGGGGAGGGGCTGTTGACCTATGTTGGGGATGTGGGAGGGTTGCGGCGCAGGAGGAATTTCATCGGGTGTGTGTGTGTGTGTGGAGGGGGGGGGGGGAGGGGGAGAATGGGAGGCGGGATATTTGTTTGTTTTATTGGTGAGGACAAATATGCAATTTCCTGGAACCAAGCATGATTAGGGAGCTCAAAACTCCAGAACAAAGCACGCCCAGCGAACAAATATCTAGGGAAATATGTTCGCGAGCCTAAACCTGCATCTTCTATTGCTCGTCGGTGATTCACAGTAGTCGCTTTACGGTAAAGTATGGGACGAGTTGCAACAAAGTAAAATATAGTCTCCCGAGTACATTGCGCAGGGATAGAGGTGTTAGCAGCAGCTAACACCTCTATCCCTGTGCTTCCATACATCTATGACTTCAACACGTATTATTGTGTATGGCGTGTTTTTTGTCCTGCACGGGAGCTCGCAGTCTGAATTCAGAAGCTGCCGCGCCGCGGCGCGCAGATTGCTGCGCACGGAGGAATTCTGTTAATAGAGTAGTACGAGTATGTGTGTGTTTTACGACATAGTTTATGTTTTAATGTATTTTAGAGCGCAGCTCTTAGCCGCTTCTTTTCGGGTTGAGCGGCGTCGGCGTCGGCGTGACGGCGCGGGACATTATGAACGTATCCCCGCTAAAGTTAGCGGGTAAATAGTCCTGCTAAATTTCGCTGGAAAATATTTCCGCTAAATTTAGTGGGGAAATTTAGCGCAAACATTTTCCCTCTAAGTTTAACTGAATAATTTCCCCCTAAATTTAGCGGGGAAAATGACGCCACGTTTGAATGTCACGCCACCCATAAACCAATTCAGCTTCAGGAGGAGAGAAGGACGAAAGGAGGAGGAGGAGGGGAGGGTACGAAGAAGGATGAAGGCACACCCTCCCCTCTGTACTTTTTACTCCTCCTCCTCCTCAAGAGCTGCGCTCCAGTTTCGCATTACAGATATTTGTAAAGGTATTTATTTCTCTTTTTTTTAATTTCAAGAAGCTTTCCCTCTTAAATGAGTATATTGCGAACGAATCCAACCATGCATATATATTATATGTTCAGATTTATGCTACCAATAATATTTCTGCTCATATTCGTAAAGGATCACTTGCAAGTAACGGAATTTCTTGTAATCCTTTACATTTTATAATTCTTTTGTAACTGATTATTTACATATGTGATCGAGTAATCATAAAGTGATTTCCTTACATATTTACCTAACGGTGTCTCTGTAAATTGCTACATTTTTATTCCGAACCCCCCTCCCCTCCCCTCCCCGCCCCTCCCCCCCCCCCCCCCCCCCACACACACACAGACTTTCTAAGATAAACAAAGTATGTTCCTCTTAGTAAAGTCGATCGCAGTCACGCTGTCACGCTCATTGTTCAGTAAAAAAGAAGCTTGACACTCTTCAGTTCCACAAAGCCTGTCTTACCAACGGCAAGACAATAAATCTTTTTTTTTCTGCGGACCATAAAAACAAAGTAAGGAAATCCAAATAGGCATTCCTAAAAAGAAAAAGAAAGTGGGGGCAAACTATATCCGCTTTTTTCAAGCCAATTGTTTATCGCTTTGCGATGGAAGACGGGAGAGGAGGACACCAAGGTTTTGTGCACCTCTTTGAGAAGCTTGATGCAGTAAGTGCGCAGGCAAGAATGAGCAATGTCTTTTTCGGTTAATGTGACTACGACCATTTTCATAATGTCCCAACAGGAAAGGACTACTACTAAAAGCGATGTGAAAATAAGTGCAGGTATTATAGCCATAAGCATGCTCTTTCGTTGCTGCACAAAGAGCATTATAACACTTCTCAACTTCTTGTTAGTGAGCAGGATGTATTTTTTGCTTCTTTTTATCTTATTCGACAAAGTCTTAAATGATACTTTATTGTAGGGCAACTTTCGGTCTGGCCCGCTTTATTTGTTCCTCTCAGCCAGGTTATATGCATGTCAGGCACCCTTTTTGTTCGTCAGCTTTTGGCGAGCACTTCGGAAATTGCAAAGGTCCTCGCTTTTTTTTTTCTTCTGTTTTTTTTTTTCCAAGGAGGACACACCTTATCTCAAACGAAAGCTTTTGCTAATAAAAAAAAAAAGCAGAATTAGGCAAGAGATTTCGAGGCATGAGGAGGGAGTGAAACCTGGGAGCACGCAGTTCTTTGCCCTCTGCCGCCCGTTTTCTCAGCGGACGCCTATCTAGAAAACACCGGGCTACGCTACTGCCGGCCCGTGCTTTGTGCGTTTTTTAACGGCACAATTAGAGACACGTACACATACGTGCGTTTACATCACCTTGTCTTTAGCGACGTTTTCATTAATTTCATAGGAACGTAGTGTTTTATTACCTTATTATATTTATATCGAAAATGTTTTATTATCTTATTCAGCAATGTCTTTACCGAGGCTCGAGTTGTTCACAGCCAAAGTAAGATGAAAACAGATCAGAACCATATTTGTTATTTAATTGTCACGTCTGGCTACCCTGTCTTACTAACTTCGTCTTCAAACATCTGGCTATATTGACCGTTTAGTTAGATGTTCAAAATTCAATTTTTATTCCAGGCTCGGCCAGTGGCATGACCACTGCTAGAGTTTCGCGATTCAAACAGTGTCAGGCACTGCTGCAACGACGAAGGTTTGCTCTTTCTTCGGGATAAAGAGCACCTATATCGCTTCGCTGTAATGGCACAATGCACCAGGCGCGTAGCCAGGATTTTGTTTCAGGGGGGGCCCACTCATGACAAAATGCTGTATGAGGGGGAGGCGGGAGACGAGGTCCGATG